ACACAAACAACACTGCCCTCAAACCTTGTAAAGTACAAATATTAACACCTCAAAACTTCTGTGGAGCAGGCCTCTGGGCACGTTGGTTGGGTGCCTCTGCCTCAAGGTGTCTGTGAAGCAGGAGATGTGTTTCCACTGAGGCCCGACTGGGGATAGATTTGCCTCCCAAGGTCACTCGTCTGGTTTTTGTCAGGATGCAGTTTGAACTGAGAGCCCGAGTTCCTGCCTGTTGGCCTGGTTACTCCATCAGTTCTCTCCTGTGGGGCCTCTACATAGGGCAGCTCAACACATGGGTGCTTGTTCTCCTTGTTCCAGAGATAAGACAGACAGACAGACAGAGACACAGATCCTGAGAGGAAGGAAGGGACCTCAAGAACGAGAGTACAAGACAAGTGACAGGACCTGACACCCCATCAGCTGGGCCGTCCTCTATGTTGTTCAGAAGCCAGTTACTGAGCACTCAGCGGACACACAAGGATGTTCCCACCAGGAGGCTGGACTCCCTCGAAGCCACTGTGAAGGCCCCTAACGCTTGGGCCCACATGAGGCACTTGTCCGAGGCTAAGTTTAACAAGAGACCACGGTGAGGTTTTAGGCCAGTGAGTGACCATATCTGAATTTCCTGTCATTTTAAACCCTTAAAGGTACAGACTTGAAAATGAGGCCGACATGAGCAGTGACTTCCCTGAGATCACAGGCTGGGCCCAGGGCTCATTTGTCTAGTGTTCCATGCTGTGTCCCACTCATTCTTGTCATCTTCCACCTCTATGTTTGTGTACCAGATTCATGGGACACCAGCCCACAGCTGTTAGGGGCCTTGTCCCATCTGCACCTGATGACTTCCTATGGAAATGGTGTCTAGTATCATCCTCGTTGGGCAGCTTGGGAGCTTGTGGGAGGCCCTGAGAGGCACAAAGGCTTCCCCAGGGCACAGAACACTTAAGAAAAAGGAGGTGTGAACTCAGCTTTCTCCCCCAAACCGGGGGCCTCGTTCTTCCCAGGGAGCTTGGGGGGAGGGCTGTGTTGGATGCTTGTATACAGGTATGGAGATAACATGGGCCAGGAAGGTGCATCAGGCCACAGACACCATCCAGGGCCGGACTCAGGTGAGAACTGGCCTTGAGGGTCTCTACACCCATAAACCCGAGACAACCTGGCAGTGCCCAGAACCCAGACTCAAATCTGGGGACCCTGGATGCCCTCCCACGGCCCCTAGGGTGTCCCTTAGCCTCATGTCAGAGGAATCCGGGCCTCCTCTCTTCCCTCCAGTTACATGGAAGAGTAGAAAGACGCTCCTCACATATTTGTGGAAATATTAGAGTGAAATTATATTATTTCACTTCATGGTAGACCAGAAGCACATTTGCCTATCGGTTTTTGTTGTTTAAATCACCCTTGCCAGTATCCTGTGGAGCAGTCAGCTCCACTGTCCTTGAAGACCTGGTCCAATAGCGGAGGTCGTTTGGCCAGCGATGCAGCCTTTCAGTGCTGATGGACATGGGTCTGATGCAGTTCAGCTGTCATGTCAGCAGTGCTGCCCGGAACACTGAAGTGTGTGGGAATAGACTGTGTTAGGTTGCTTGCTCAGGCTGCCTAGGACCACACTGGGTGGTATCAGCAGCAGACATTCATTTTCTCACAATTCCAGAGGCTAAGAGTGAGAGATGGTGCTGTCAGCAGGGCTGGTTTTTCCTGAGGGGTGTCTCCTCAGCTTGTAATGGCCGGCTTCTCTCTGTGTGTCACATGACTCCCCTCTGCACTGCCACGTGTCCTCCCCTCCTCTTCTAAGGACACTGGTCAGATTAGATGGATATCCACACCACTGAATTCACGTCACCTTAATTACGTGCTTAAATACTAAAACTCAAATACAGACACATCATGGAATTAGGGAATCACAATTCAGATCACAATATGTACCACCCCCTCTGGACTGGATGCCCACTGCTGCTGGAAGGACGTGCACATGTAAAATGTAACGGCTGCAGGCAGATTCCAAACCACAGGGCTGTGGCAGTTACGGTGCCAACAGCAGTTTCTGATGATGGCTGCTGCCTTGCCCCTAGCCGGGCCCGGGGATTTCTCACTCATTGAAATTTTCACCTGTCTGAGGTCAGGCTGTCTAAGGCAATCACAGTGTTCCTTCATTGGCAATTGTCTCACAGGGACACTGAGTCACCTGTCACTTTTCACTCACCACATGGATTTGCTCCCTCTCGAGTCCTCTGCTCAGATTCATGCCTGATGATCACCCTCCTCCAGTGTGAAGTCTGCAGGATATGCCCCTTTGCAGAATCTGGCACCTCCATAATGAGGGTCTTAAAATGCCCTTTAATATAAAAGGATGAAAAGTGTCTTTTTTGAAGTCAGTGGTTTTCATAGGCCATATCTACCATGTGCACTGTCCCCACACAGGGATGGGCAAGGTTCCCACACCCTTTCCATCCATTTCGGGAGCAGATCGGTCTCAGGTAGCTGAGACAGAATGTCATCCAGGACAGTTCACAGTTCTGCCCTCATGACCTTGAGAAGGCATGTGACATCCCTAAGCCTCTGTGTTCTCATCTCTAAAATGGGGATGTTTCTTGAGGACTCACAGGGACAATGCACATCATACAACCTATTAATACAAGAAGGTTTGTTATTCCTCAGCTAAAACAAATAAAAAACATGCCCTGATGGTCACAATTGTATGAACATCCCCCACCCACCCAACTAAGGTGGAACTTTGAAAACCTAGAACCTCATTCAGCCTGGGCCCTCCTGTCCCTCCTCTTGCCCACGTCCCTGAGGGGCTGGGACTCCTGTGTGAGCTCCAGACCTCCATCCTCCTGGGACTCACGGTGATGCCGCTGACTGGATGTCCCTTCTTACCCCCTCAGTGTGCAGCTGAGTTCACTCTGAGACTGTGTGAGGCCCGCAGGCTGCGAGCCCTGCAGAAAGGCACGTTGGAGAAGGTGGCGGGGTCCCTGGTACCAGCTTTCCCGGCTGGCAACATCCCCCGCATCTGCACCCTGATGCCCACCCACCCAGCCTTCTCCAGAGTCCGATGGTTCCTGGATGAGCTGTTAACTAAATGAGCACAGGTTCCCTCTTCGTCACAGTGGGGACTCTGCCCACTGCTAGCTGTGGGTGTTGACAATGTCATCGCATCAGCCTGAGCCTCAGAATGCTCCTCTGAAAAGTGGGTGGTACGGGATCAACCTCATAGGGCTCTGGTAGGCACTGCTGTGGGGACAAGCCATGGCAGGGCCTACATGCTGCTGGCTCTGCAGAAAGGGCTGCTGGACCAGCTGTGGTTGTTTGTGACAATTGTGTCTCTCTGTCCCATGGAAAGTCCCCTGACACCCCCATCAGCGGCCTGTGGCATCTGAGTGTGGAAAAGCACATGAGAAACAACCTGTCAAGCAGTGTGAGATGTCACCTCGCTGACCTTGTCCTGGTCCTTGGTGGAGCCACATGGGGGATGGCAGGGGAGAGCAGGGCCCCAAGGCCACTCAGGTGGCTGGGATGGTTCTGGTTGGAGCTCATTTACTCTACAATGTGCATTCAGCTCCTACCACAGGCAGGCACTTTTGGAGACACTTAGCCTGACTCAAGGAATGAAGCAGACCCAATCCCTGGACCTCAGATCTAGTCATCGAGTCAGACAGTCACACTGTCCATCATTCATAGGTCCTGTCCACCCTCCATCAGAGCTGATGCCATCAAGGTGTTTTCCACATCTGGAGGGACACCTCCTCATAATGACCGGGGCGACACACCGCAGGAGCAATTAGCAAAGTGAGTGGTCTGTGGGTACAGAAGCTGGGTCTCCTGTGTTAGCAGAGTGGGGGCTTAGGTAGGGCAGAGCCTGGCAGAACCCTGATCTTACACATCTTCTGATTCCCAAGGGAGGGCTGAGCTCTGGTGGCTCCTCTTCAAGGAGACATGAGTCAAAGAGGACAGTGGGTGGGGTCCCTGGCCTTGTAGACCCAGAAGGGAGGCTGGGCTGAGTTGTCCCTCAGAGTCCCATCCCCACCACAGACCCACCCCGCTCTGCCTGCCCCTCTCCATATCCATCTCTCCTGACCACCGTGGGTGGGCTCAGAACAGGATTGTGGTGAGCAGGCTGCTCACAAGTCTGCCTCAGTCCTCAGCCCAGATGCCCAGGGCCTGGAGGGTGGGGCTGGGCAGTGCACTGGACCTTCAGGAGAGCTGCCAGTGGGAAGAAGAGTCTCACACAGACACCGTGTTGAACCTACTGGATTCCCCCACCTGCTACCACCAGGATAGCCACACAGGGGCCGGGGTTGGCATGGGACTGTCCCCTGGGTGGGCAACGGGGGCCTGCACAGAGGCTCAGTCCCAAACAAGGTGCCATGGGAGGGCAGAGTGGAAGGAAAGACCAGGACTCTGACTGTGTTGCCCACCTGCCTCTCCCCAGGGCCACCGCTTCTGTGATGGGTACCTGGCCGGACCGGGTACAATATTTGGGCCAGCACCTCATTGCTCCCTGGTTCACCCTGAAGCAGGCCTTGGTGTTGCACAGCCGCCCTGCCCCACACCCGGTGGGCCTCGTCAGAAGTCTTTGGGTGGAGCTGACGCATCTAGAGCCCACTGAGGCACAGTGGGAAGGTGAGGGGACTGCAGTCTGGGAAGATGATTGGGGGAGTGGGGCAGGGGGCAGGGGTGTTTCAGGGGCCAGAATTCCCTAAAAGGCATTCGCATCTTTCCTGTCGGTGGAAATGCATGGGAAAGTGAGGTATGTGGGTGAACCTGTCTCTTTAACCTGCTCCAGAACCACCTCCAGAGCTCAAGCACACTCCAGAGCCAGAGGAAGGGCCTGCTCCTGGGCTAGAGCCTGGTCCAGCTGTGGTAGTGCGGGAGCCATCTGGACCACCAGCTCTGATCCGAATCCCAACAGCAGAGCCAGCTCCATCCCCAACAACTGACTACCGCAGGGCTGAGACCCCTAAGCACCTTATAAGGGAGGAGAAGCTTAACATCCTGACCTTCCCTCCAAGACTGGTGGCCGAGCAACTGACAGCAATGGATGTGGTGAGTCTGGGGCTCTCAGGGTGGGTGGGACAGGCCTTCCCTCTGCCCTTGGCCACACCGACCTGCCTTTCCCTGATCCCAACTCCTATGATCTTGATGCAAATCTCAGATCCACTACTTTACTAACCATAGGTCCTGGGCAACTTTCTCAATCCATAAGCCTTTGCTGTCCATCCTTGGACAGTGGAGGTGTGAAGCAGGGGGTCCCTCGGGGGTGAGGACGACGGAGCCCCAACGCGCTAGGGCGTCTGCATGCATGACTCCGGAGACCAGGTTCAGTGACGCAGATCCGTTTTATTGTGGAACTACAGGGGTATATATAGCATGAGGGGACCAATCAGAGGGAGACACGTTGCTACAGGCGACCAATGGTGAAAGGCTGGGGTACTGTGCACGTGGCTCTAGGAGTTCGTTCAGGCGGGCGTTGCTATTTCCTGGTGCGCCGAGGAAGCATGTCATGGTGGAGTGTGCTCACACCATTGCTTCAGCCGCAGCGCTGAGACATACTTCCCGAGCTCTACGTACATCTCTCCCTTCCTTTCTAATTAGCGCCAAAGCAAAGGAGTTGTCACTACTCAGAAGGAGATAGAAGGGTGGCCTTATAGACGGGTAAAAGGAGTAGCAGAGGCACGTGCCACTAGAAACTGGGTACTGTCTACACCAACTGGCATGAGAACGCCAGGGTGAGGTATCACAGTCCACAGTCCTTATCTGTGCGCCCCCGTGCTATTAGCTGTGATGATAGCACACATTAATAAGAATAACGTTGCTGCCGACGGGTTCCCCTCTGGCGCCATGCATGCAGCTTGGTCTTGTAGAGCCTTGATGTCACCCCAGGTGATGGGGTGGGCTTGTCGGTATCTAGGTCGTCTCCGCCATCGGGCTGGGTCTCTTCTATGGTCAGGTCCTCCATTTCCTCCACGGGGGGCGATGGTGGCCATCTACGCCTCATCGTTGGTGGTGTAGGGTTTGACGTCACGAGCAGGGATCTGCGGGGGACTTTTGTCGCCTTCTGGAAAAATACAAGCAAACCCTCTCCCCTGGGTTAATAGCAGGTTGGGGCCTTTCCAGGTTCCGGTGAGTGGGTCTCTCCACCGGACCAATGGAAGAGGTGTTGGTATGTCCCGGAGTCCTCCCCAGTGTTTATACATAGGGGTTAATCCATGCTCATCAAAATGCAAATAATTGAGGGTAGTTAAGGCTTGGGTTAGCAGTGTATGAGGATTTCTCCCTATCACTCCCCCTTTTTCTTTAATCAGTTGGGCCTTGAGTTCCCTGTGTAGTCTTTCAATTATTGCCTGTCCCTGGGGGTTATAGGGGATGCCCATGGTATGCTTGATGTCATGTGATTTTAAGAAGTCTTGAAATAGAGTGCTGGTGTAGCATGGTCCATTGTCAGTTTTTACCTCCCACGGGAATCCAAGGATGAGAAAGGCAGCCTTGAAGGTGGCAATGCTATGTTTGGCTTTTCCCCCCGTTTGGGCCTGGGAGAACGTGGCTCCTGAGCAAGTATCTATGACTGTGTGGACATATTTCAATTTGCCAAATGCTGGGACATGCGTGACATCCGCTTGCCACATGGCATTGGGCTATAGTCTTCGGTGATTAGCCCCTCTGGGTTGTAAAGACCCGAGGGGTAGTAGAGGGCCGCAGGATCGGCAAGCACGTATGAGGTGCTTGCACTGAGCTAGGGGCAGATGGGGGAAGAGCTTATGGAGAAAGGAGGCTGACATATGAAATTTGGTGTGTAGGAGTCTGGCCTCTTCTACGGGTTGTAGGGTAAGAACTAGCTTGTCCGCTTCTGCGTTGCCTAGGGAAAGTGGGCCTGGTAGGCCAGTATGAGACCGTAAGTGTTGGATATACCAGGGCTATTTACGGTTCTCTAGGATGTCCTTTAGGAGTTGGAGGCTCTGATCTAGCGGGGTATCTTTAACTCTTAAGGTGGAATACCCTATATTTTTTACCGTATGCACCGCGTAAGCACTATCTGAGAAATTGACTGGACTATTTTGACAGTAGAGAAGGGCGTATATTATAGCTCTGAGTTCTCCTACTTGTGCTGAGCCGTGATAAGTATATCTAAGATAAGTGGGGTTGGTGGAAGTTTTAGGGGACTTTATTATTGCTGCACAGTAACGCTTCCCCGCGTCAGTGAAGGCGCAGGGTGCCCCAGGGATAGGTTTACTAGAGGGGCGTACCAGACCTAGTGTCTCTAACGGTACCTTTTGGAGGGTTTGGAGGAGCCTATGATTGGGTAGGTGATTATCTACCTGCCCTGGGTAGTTTAGGAGAAGTAACTGTGTTTCTAGATCTGTGGTTAATAGATGAGAGATTTGTTCCTGCGTATAAGGAAGTATGAGAGTGTCAGGTTCTTTTCCATATAGGGTAAGCGAAGCCTGCCTGAGCTTCTGTCCTATGAGGGCGTAGGCCGCTGTTGGGGGCGTTACTTTAGCAAGCTGGCTGTAGGCCAAGTGTACCCAATAAAGAGGACCCTCCTGAAATAGTACTCCTGTAGGAGTCCCAATGGTGGCCAGTACTATCGCTTGGATTGGCTGGGTCAAGTCTATTCTGTGTAGCTCTAGCTCCCTTAGAGCATGGTTGACAGCTTTTAAGACCTCTTTGGCCTTGAGGGTTAGAGAGTGAGTACTAAGGGGGTCTGTGTCTCCTTCAAGCAATTGGGAGAGGAGTCCTAGGGCCCCGGTGGAGATTGATAAGCTGTTCCTAACCCAATTAATCTGGCCACATAGTTCCTGTAGCGCATGTAGGGATATGGTATCAGGAATTGCAAGCTGAGGAGCTATGGGTACTATTTGTTCATGTATTTTATATCCTAAAAAGGAGTATGGAGGAATGGTCTGGACCTTTTCAGGAGCTATATGGAGGTTAAGAGCTTATAGGTTGCTAATAAGTGTTTGGTAGCATGCCTCTAGCCCAGGGGTGGGCAAACTTTTTGACTCGAGGGCCACAATGGGTTCTTAAACTGGACCGGAGGGCCAGAACAAAAGCATGGATGGAGTGTTTGTGTCAACTAATATAAATTCAAAGTAAACATCATTACATAAAAGGGTACGGTCTTTTTTTTTTTTTTTAGTTTTATTCATTTCAAACGGGCCGGATCCGGCCCACGGGCCATAGTTTGCCCACGGCTGCTCTAGCCATATAGGGTCCCTATTGGCAATAAGGATATCATCCATGTAAAGAGTGATAAAGCATTGTTTGGCTAGAGGTTTGGTTGTCACTCCAACGTAAGCCTGGCACATGGTAGGGCTGTTCTTCATGCCCTGGGGGAGTACCTTCCATTGGTATCTATCTGCCGGTAGTTGGTGGTTGGTAGAGGGCACTGAAAAGGCAAAGTAGGGCCTGTCCTCTGGGTGCAACGGGATAGAGAAAAAGCAGTCTTTAATATCTATGATTTTTATATGCGCTCCCCTTGCGATAGCCGAGGGGTGAGGCAGTCCCGGTTGTAGAGGGCCTAGTTTTTCCATGTGTCTATTTACAGCTCTGAGGTCCTGTAGAAATCTCCATTTTACTTTAGCCTTCTTTGTATGACAAAGACTGGTGTATTGTGAGGGCTGAGAGAGGGTTCAACATGTCCAGCATCTAGTTGTTCTTGTACTAATTGCTTAAGGGCAAGTAATTTCTCTTGCGGTAAAGGCCACTGTTCTACCCATATGGGGTCGGTGGTGACCCATGATAACTTTATCGGCTGTGGCGCCGGTGGGTGAACAGTGGCCCCTAGGATTGGGGGGGCGGTGTGGTGTATATGATTGCATTGACCGCCTCAAGGATGTCTCGGCCCCACAAAGTGTGGGGGATGTCAGTCATGAAGAGTGGGCGGAAAGTCCCGGTATTCCCGTCTGAGTCCGCCCAGGAGAGTCCCCTGGCAGCTTGGGCAGCCCTCTTGTAGCCGCTGACTCCCTGAACTAGAGGACCGGAAGTGGTCGGCCATTTGGAACTCCGCTTCTCCTCTTGAATACCGACATGTCTGCCCTAGTATCTGCTAGCCCTTCTATTCTCTCTCCCTTGACCGTTAAGGTAAGGAACACCTTGCTCTGTATAAGAGGTAGCGTCCAATATACCCCTTGGGTCGGCTGCTCTCTTACTGGCGGGGCTGAGAGCTGCCCCTCTTCTCGTTTAATGGGGGCAGTGGATTGCCATCTTTATCCTTATTGGATCTGCAGTCCCTGCACCAGTGTAGTCCCTTTCTACAGCAGGGGCAAACGGAGGGGGTTTTTTTCTCTTCCCCTCCCTGTTTTCTCTTCCTGTTAGGGCAATCCTTCGCAAAATGGCCGATCCCTTTACACTCATAGCATGCTCCTTTCTGTCCTTCCGATTGTCCTCCTAGATTGATATGAGCGGCCAGCGCTGCCGCAAGGGTGGCGGCCGACTTACTGCCTACATCTCGACAGGTAAGCACCCAGTCATCTATACTGCCTGCTTTAACCGGAGCGATTGCCTGGCGGCACTCAGCATTAGCCCCCTCCCAGACGAGCTCCCTGGTAAGGGCTTCCGCTGCCTGGGCGTGAGTAACCTTACGGTCCACAGCTTCCCTGACTCTAAGTAAAAATTCTGAAAACCCTTCATTGGAACCCTGTACGAGCTTGGACAGTCGCGTAGGCTTACCCCTCGGATTTATCTGGGTGAAAGCGGGCATAGCACAGAGGCGGACTTGATCAAAATATCTAGCGTGCCCCTGGGCCTGGACAGCAGGGGAAGAGAAAACTCCTTCTCCCTGTAGTGCATCTGCCTCATCGTGCGGATTATGGGCTTTTCCTGCTACCGCGGCTCCATTGCATTCTGCCTGTTGCTTGCACTGTTCATAAAACAAAGCCTTCCACTGAATCATGTCCCCTGGGGCTAGTATGGTACGAGAGAGGCATTTCCAATTATGAGGGCAGTTAAGATTTATACTAAAATTTTCAAGTAGCTGTTGGGTGTACGGGGCTGATAACCCATCCTCCTGTACTGCCTTTCTAATGGCTAGTAGCTCCTTTTGGTTAGGCGGTATCCACACCTGAGGTTGTGGGGCGGTAGGATTAGTGTTGACGGGGAAAGCCTGAGTTTCTAAGCCCAAAGAGAACCGTGACATGTCCCTCTGCCGGCATTGGGATTGGTATAGCCCTGTCCAGGGATTATCGTTCATGTCCCCAACAAGGGGGGCCGGAGCAGTCTGCTGCGGGGGACCTGCGCTTGGCTTCCTGCCCTGCGCTCTTTCGGCCCAGGTAGCGGCTTCCCCCATTTTAGTTTCGTTTTGTTCTGCTTCCTTCTGAGCTCTGTTGGTGGTAGATACTTCCCAAGGGTCCGCCTCTGGGGGACCCTCAGGTGCCAAGGGAGTGGTGGTAGTGACCGGGGGATTGTAAGGTGGCAAGGGAAGCTTAGAGGGATGCTCGTCCTTCACTGTGGCTGAAAAGGCTGTGGGTACTGGGAGTGGCGGTTCGGGCGGAGCGCGGACAGGCAAGCCAGGAGAGCTAAGATGGCCGGTGTCAGAGAAGGGGGTAACGGTTTTTCTTCGTGGACCTCAGCGGATCAAATCCTTTTCAAGACCTTCTACCAATTGGAAGGGTCCCAAATGGGGGCCTCGATTAACCACGGATTGGACTGTAATAGATATTCCCAATGAGTTTGGAGTTCCTTTTCAGAGACCTTAACTCGCCCGCTCTGCAGTAAGGCGTGGAGTGCGCACGCTTGTGGTGCTCTCGCCGAAGGGGGTAGGTTTCCCATTTTACTGTAGAGGGTCGCTCACCCATCCAGCCGTTCCGGGGGCCCCACGTTGGGCACCAGATGAAGCAGGGGGTCTCTCGGGGGTGAGGACGACGGAGCCCCAACGCCCTAGGGCGTCTGCATGCACAACACCGGAGACCAGGTTCAGTGACGCAGATCCGTTTTTTGTGGAACTACAGGGGTATATATAGCATGAGGGGACCAGTCAGAGGGAGACACGTTGCTACAGGCGACCAATGGTGAAAGGCTGGGGTACTGTGCACGTGGCTCTAGGAGTTCGTTCAGGCGGGCATTGCTACTTCCTGGTGTGCCGAGGAAGCATGTCATGGTGGAGTGTGCTCACACCATTGCATCAGCCGCAGCGCTGAGACATACTTCCGGAGCTCTGCGTACAGAGGTGGGCACCCCAGGCCCTGCTGCACAGAGTGGCTGTGCAGATTCAATTAGGGAGACGAGACAGAAAGCTGGGTGGGGCCTTCCCTGGTTTGTGGGGAGGGGAGCTCACTGCGTGCAGCCTGATCCATGGGTCGCCCATCCATGTTCTCATTAGGCTCAATGGCCTCAACACTTAACACTTGGAGTGCGGGAAACGAGTTAAGTCGGCTCGCGTGAATTGTGCGTACTCCGCGGGAGTCGTCTTAACTCGGTTCATATAGATTTGCGGTGGAGTGCGGGAAACGTGTAAACTCGGGCCGATTGTAACTGCGTATTACCAAATATTTGTTTGTTTGCCGTTCACAAAGATACCTACCTGCGTATGCGAACCGTTTCATACCCATTGGGGTAATAGGTATCATAAAAATCCCTTGTAAGTAGAGAACACTTTATGGCGCTGGTCGAGTACAATACCGTTAGGGTACCAATGTATTGTTTTCTCATTTTATAACCGATATCCCTGGATATCTCACCATGCAAAGAGAATAGTTATTGAGAAATACTTCTTGTGTCCGGACGTCTTTAGTTTTGAGTTTTGTGAATATTATTACGTGTTTAAACTAACTCTGATTTTGCGCGGGAAACCTAAATAATTGCCCGCGCCATCTTATATTTTGGCAGGAAATTCACCCGACACCGTAGTGTTATTAGGCCCCTGATGTGTGTTTAATCATAAGGGAGACAAACAGCTGTGGTTGTAGCTACCACAGGGGAATGTGCACTGAATGGGGATTCAGACCAGAGGGGTGTCAGATGCTGGAAGATGCCCCCTTAGGGTGAGCAGACTTGAGCCACTTCCTGCAGCTTGGAGTTAGTGAGGATGGGCTGGAGGCAGATGCTCCTGGCCCTTCCCCTCCAGTCTTGGGCCCTGGGTCATCCAGTGCTGGGTGCCCTCGGTGGACAGAGAGTGAATCCCATGGACTCCAAGGCTCAGGCACATCCTCAGCTTCCTGAGCTTCAGTCTTGTCCACTGACCCCTTCAGGGGACTGGGGACCCTGAGCTGGGGTGTGGCAGGGCTGGTGACACTCCCCTTTCTCCCCAGGAGCTGTTCAAGAAGGTGCTGCCCCACCAGTGCCTGGGCTCTGTCTGGTCCCAGCGGGCCAAGCCCGGCAAGGAGCACGTGGCCTCCACTGTCCGTGCCACCGTAAGACAGTTCTGTCATGTGACCGCCTGTGTGATCATCAACTGCCTTGGGGACCCAAGCATGATGGCCCGGGACAGGGCCAAAGTGGTGGAGCACTGGATGAAGGTGGCCAAGGTCTGTGAGGGGAGGCCCAGCAGCGTCCCTATGCGGAGCCTTGAAAAATGCCTCTGCTGCTTGGTCAGCTCTCAGGACTGAGGCCTGAGGTCGGAGCCCCAGCACAGCCTCCACGTCCTCTCTGCCAGGGGCATGCGGACCCTGACTCCCATGTCCCCGTGTTGGGAGGCTCACTTCCTACCTGGCTCCTTCCTTGGGTTGAGCTGGGATCCTCCTCTCTGAGAGTTGGTCTTTGGGTGCTAAACGTGCCCTCCCTGAGCATCTTTCCCACCAGGAAGGGGTGTCATTCGAGAGGTATTGAAGCACCAGCTGTAGCTCCCACCTCACAGCCCATGTCTCCCCTTCCCCAGGAGTACAGAACCCTAAGAAACTTCTCATCCCTGCACGTCATCCAGGCCGCTCTGCAGAGCGTGTCTGTCCATCGTCTAAAGAAAACATGGGGGAAAGTTTCCAGGTGCGCAGGCCTCTCCCATCAGAGGAGGCATGGGGAGGTGTCACCGAAATGTCTCTCAATGTCCCCTCACCTCCTGGGAGGCAGCCAACCCTGGCGACAGGGACTGGTCTGGTGGGCAGGGTCTCTAAGGCTCCCTGGGACCTCAGGCCACTAGCTCTGCTTCAGGAGTCATTTTCTTTCAATGTCAGAGACGGCATTGAGCCAAATGGGAGATTTTCAAGTGTTTTCAGCACCTGAACCGTATGCCCAGTTCAAACCCAAACTGGTTAAAACAGCTGCTCCATAGATATGGAGAGGGGCCCATTGACCAACATGAGAGCCCTGCCCCAGTCCCACGGAGACCTTCCTGCTCAGAGGAACCCTGAGGCAGGTTGAAACATGACATTGTCAACAAGAATTTGCCCTTAACCCGTCTCCCCCATCTTTCCTAAACATGTCTTTCCTCTTTCCCTCCACTCAGGAAGCGGGCACTTACAATGAATAAACTGTGCAAGAAAAACAACTCACTGAGCAGGGAACAGTTCATCAAGGTAGAGGGAGCCAAGAGGTCTGCAGAGAGGAGGGTGTGAGGGAAGGGGGGGACGGCACAGGATGCGGCTGTGATTTGGTCACTTGATGATTCTCTGAAAATGTTCACTTTATTGGTCCCAATTACCCGGAAGAGGGATGTGTTTGGTCCATGGGCAGGTGGGGTTCGGGGGGCACTTTCAAGGGCAGGAGGCCCCAGTCATGGCACACAGGGTGGCACACAGGCTGTTCCAGGACGGGGTGCAGAGCTGGCACATTGAGCGGGTCTCTGGCTTCCGTGCTGGTCCTTCCCAATTGCACTTCGCTTCTTCCAGGCTGTGGGGTGAATGGGTGGGTGGGGGAGGTTTCTTCCCCAAACCAGCCCAGCCTGTCCTCAGGATGCCAGGGCCCTGCTGCCACTTCTGTCTTCTCCACACCTGCAAGGGGAGCGCCCTTCCTGCCCAGGATGGGCCCCGCAGGGGATTCCCAGGGGAAAGGGGAACAAAAGGGCTGCTTGGCCTCGGGTCCTACTGTCTGGACAAGAGACAGAGGGGTGGTCTCCCTGAGACTTCCCACTGCACCCCTAGAGCACTCGCTGCCAGTCAGTCTCGTCATGATTGACATGGAGGGGTGTCCATCCCGTGCTACAGGCCTCACAGGGTGGTCAGGAGTTCAGGACAGAACAGGACTGTGCAGAGCTCCCTGCCCTGTGCCACCTGGAGGGCTGAGGGTGAGAACAATGGTGACAGGAATGACACTGAGTCCTCAGGAGAACCTGTGAGCTCTGTGGAGGTCTCCCACTTTCCAGAGGAGGGAACGGGTCAGGGAGCCAGGCCCAGGCCTAAGGTCACACACACCGAGTGAGCGTTGTAGCTGGGAGTCGTCCAGAAGCAGAGCTTGCTGGAGTCAGGATGGCACTGGTACCAGCTGACTTGGATCAGAGGGCCAGGGTGTGAGGTCAGGGCTGGTGGGGGAAATGGGGTGAGGTGAGCATGACCTCAATGACCCTGTCCTCCACCCTGGCGGACACAGCCTTCCAGGTATGCCTCTCTGATGCTCTATGTCCCTGGATCCAAGCTCAGGCTGCCCAAGAAGGTGAGTGAGCCTGTCTGGGGGTGCTTAGGGTCAGAGGAGGGGGTTCTGTCCTCTCAGCTGGAGGCTTCCAAGTCAAGAGAGGGAGGCCTTCCTCCTCCAGCCCCACCTCCTGTGCCCACAGACCCTGAAACCCTCCCTTAGAAGTGACCAAGAGGAGGGCCTGGGGGATGTGCCTGCAGGCTGGACATGGGGGTGGGTCTGGCCCAGGACCACTGACCCAGTGATTTGCCAAAAGGAGGTCCTGGGAGCTGATCAGGAGGAGTTCCTGGAGAGTGAGGGAAGAGACAATTGTGTGGAGGCCCTAAGGGACCTCGGCCACTCCACATGGGAACCCTGGGGTGGCCAGAAGGCTAAGGGTGGGAGGCTTTCAGGAGAGGGCCTGTGGGGCACCTGAGAGCAGGGGCTCATCCCACCCTCACCCTGTTTGTCCAGTGTGTTCCCTTCCTGGGAGAATACCTCAAAGATCTCAAGGTGATGGACACCTTAATGGAGGATGATCTGGAGGTGGGTGACCTGGGGCCTGACGTGGGGTGACCAGGATTGACCTTGGGGGACAGAGAGCCCCCATACTGAGCTCTGAGTTCTCAGCACAGCCTCCCCTTGGAGCTGGAGCGACAGGCCCATCATAGTCATCCGTGACCCCCCTCCTTTGGAGCCCAGAGCCTGGCCTGGATCTAAGTCCTGCCTTTTCCTGTTTCGCATTCCCTCCTGGGACCTGCTGGTAGTGCAACATGAGAAGGGTGGGCATAGGGGGCCAGTCCTAGCTAGGGTGTTCTTTCTCATGGACCTTGGATATCTGCCTTTTAGAAGAATCAGATCGATTAGCAAAAAAGGAAAAGGTTAGCAGCTGTGGCACAGCCTGCGGGGCAGGGGAGGGAGTGAGAATCAGAGACGCCCTGGCCAGCACACTCCTGGGCTCCATCCCCTGCATCTTCCATTTATTGGGAGAGTTTGATAACAGAAGTGAGAGAACCTTCCAGTTGGTGGTTGGGGGTAGGGGCATGGAATCAAGGATAATCTTTTGGAGGAAGGGCTGTTAATGCCCATCCCTGAGCACAGGAAGAGCCTGTATGGAATTAGGGGGAAGGAGGGTGGCCCTGTGTGCAAAGACCCAGGACCAAGCCCCTGCTCCACTCTTCACCCCCATTTGGGCCGTGTCTGCATCCTCTCCTTCCCTCTGGCCTCAGGTACAGAGAGTTTTGGAGGAGATAGTGGTTCTACAGGACGCTGCCCAGAAATACAAAATAGAGCCTGAGGAGCAATTCCGGGCCTGGTTCTGGGCCCTGAAACGGCTCAGTGAAAATGAGAGGTGAGGCCAGGCAGGAGCTGGGCAAGGGCTGGGCTGGACTCTTTCTGCTGGTCGGTCCAGAGAACCTGTGTCCATGGTTCCCTGATCCTGCCTCCCCCCAGACCTTGCTGTGTAGCAATTCCTGGGGCTCCTGACACTGGGAGGGACACCTGGGGTTGGGAGCTCACAGGTGCCACTTTCTCCTGCAGTTACATCCGGTCCTGCCAGCTGGAGCCACAGTCCTAAGTGGCCAGGGTAATACGCACAGAAGGAAGTCAATGAATGATTGACTGCACATGTGGAAATTATTCTCATCATAATCTCTATTTTTTAGACTAAGAAATAACTATACAAATATTTATATTTATCCTTTCAGATATCCTCATAATACATGTAAATATACCCTTACCCATAGTTATAAGTAATTTTTGTTATGTTTATGTTTTGTAAGTTTTAATATATTAAAGTTATTTCTGAAAAATAATATCTTCTAGTATCTTTTCTCCTGCTTCGTCATAAATTGTATAATTTGGCTGTAGTTAATGGACTTAAAATGATTTTGTTTTCAACTTTATAAATAAGTCTTTGATGATCATTGTTGTATAGATAGATACCTCTGAACATTTATTCATTTTGAATCAATTCTGGCAAATAAAATTTGTCTCAAAAATATACATTTTAAATGTTTGTATGTATGCATTTTGAATCATATGATCAAATTCCCTTGGAATTTTGATTGGGATCTCATCAGATTTGTAGATTGGGTTAAGAGGAATTCACTCCCTGACTCCTTTATCAGGTATGTATTGAGCGCCTCCTATGGATCAGGCACTAGAAGCACGTGCTCAACCAAAGAGCTTGTCATGATGTCATGTTTGCACGAAAGAGTCAAACCAGCCAGCACATGCATAACCTGAAGTCAGGATGTGCTGGGTGCTCTGAACAAAAGGTAAAGCGGAGAAAGAGAGAAATGGTGAGGAGGTGATGTTGTGTGTAGGATGACGTGAAGGTTTGTCAGATCGAGGTGATAGTTGAGGCTGCTTTGGGATATGCATAGATGACCAGCAAAATGTAAACATCCCAGCTGAGCCCCCAGTCTGAGCTCTGGTTCCAAAGTGCTCTTGGTGGCTCCTCATCTGAGGGAGAAAGTGTATCCAGCCTCATTATTCACAGAAGGGAGGATAAAACACACAGCCCCTGGCCTCTCTGGACCCCTTACCATGAATTAACCTTTCATTGTGGGGCCTATTCTTACTTCACTGCTGTGGCTCCAGCATGTCCTCTTCCTGTAACAAACTGTAGGCAGCAGGTATTCCTGTTTACCTGGCCCTGAGTTATACAAGGGCAGTGCACACTGTGTTTAATTCCAAATTCTAAATGGGCCGCCTGACCTGCAACGGATCCATCCACCTGTCTGCTCAGTTCATGGTCCCACACACTGAATGGGTATTTCCCAGGCATCATCTGTGTTGCCCAGGAAACAATTGCTTGTGCTTTCCTTGAGATTTAGGGAATGGCTGTTATCAAAAAGACAAGAAATGACAAGTGTTGTGAGGAAGCAGAGAAACAGGAACCCTGGTGCACTGTTGATAGAATTGTAAATTGGTGCAGCCACTATGGAAAAAAGTAAAGAAGTTCCTCAAAAAATTAAAATAGAACTAGCATATGATCCAGCAATTTCACTTCTGGTTATTTGTAGAAATCCAAAACACTAATCAAAAGGATATGTGTACCTCTGTGTTTATTGCAACATTAGTTACAATGCCACAGATGTGG